GGATGATTGGGCAAGAAACTAGGAGTGTAGCGTATCATATCCCATTAGTACAGATATGATCTTCTTGATTTCAATGACTTATTTTATTATGTTTTTTTTACAGAAATCTTAACCTGACATTGTTAAAATATCGATCATTAGACTACATGTGTATGTACATGTATAACTATATATGGATGTACTAACTCATGGTATAACACATAAACTTGCAGATCGCCAGTATTATCCCACAGCGTTGGTGTAGAATAGGGGTCCATAGTTATCTCTAGGAAATACATTACTTATTATCAATAAAATCAGTACATTATATCAAATTTTTTCTGAATGAATAAACTTCACATGTGACACAAATATGGTACGATATCGACTATTTACCAATAAAAAAAAAAACATTACCGAACTAACTTCGTCTATGATTGAGTTGACTGCAGAATGGCAACAATGAGGTTGAAACTTGCGACAAAATTGTGAATTACTTCGTTTTTTTATTCAACGCACGACGAGTATTACAAATAGTAAATTAGGGTTAGGGAAGGTGAAGATGAACCACTGAATGTTGACAATCTATACATGTCGTACCCTACACCTGCTCCCTAAACCTAATACTATTGCCTAATAATCATTGTCACTCTGCCATATCCGCCCAATGGCAATCAGATATCGTGTCGACATCTAACGGACAACAACAGCAAAATGGAAGAAGGCAAACAGGGACAGTTAGAGAGTGTGTGATGTTTGTTGACAAAACCATGCTGTGGTCGGGAATTACAAGCCCACGTGGAAGTGTTCATCTTTAAATTACGCAATTACTACTTACCTCATCACCTCCCAAATCTTGTATTATATCAAGTTCTACTTCCTCTCCTTTCAGCGACTCTACTTTTTTTTTGTTTACTAACCATTTTCTTTACTTTTTTTACAGGTTTTTTGAAACGACGATCTTTCGACATGGGTGCCGCCATCTTGAATATTGATCAACTCTCGCGAGGAAAAACGAGATTGGAAATTTTTAATTACAGCGCCTCCTATTGACGCACGGAAAATTTTTCCGACTGACAGTAGTGTTTGAGAGAAGTAACACAGATGAGCTCGACTGTCAAATGACTCTTTTTCACGAAGATCATACTAACAAGACATTTAAAAATAAATCATTTGAACTATTCAAATTAAAGAAATTTGTGTCATTAATGCTTTAATTTTTTTTTTTTAAATATAACTTTTTAATAAATTTCAAATGATTCTCTTAAAACCTTTGATATCACAGGCATTAAATTTCACCATTTTAATGTTTTGGGCAATTTCACTGAATTTTAATTTCGTTAATTTGTCATGTTCTGTAGATTTAATTTGATAGATTTTATCAACAAAAATAGCAAATTTAAAACCCAGTGAATAATTAATGCATTTACAGTAGTTAAAAACAACTTGACCAATCACAATACCTTAGCAGATTTGAGTGCATGGCAGTAAATTGACCAATGATTGAAAGACTCATGAGTAATTAATAGGAGTAACCAATTAGTTTCCATAGCCAATGAAATCATCGTCATTAAATTTGAATGAAGCATGATTGTCTTACAGGGGTGAATATTTCATTCATGCCTTCATAAGGTTAACTGTACTTTTTTGTAAATATTCATGTCGGTAGATGATTTAACTTCAGGACTGTAATTTGGTGCTGGAATGCTGCTTCTGTACCGCCCTCTATCTGCAAAGTACATTTAAATCAAACATGCCTGTTTGTTTCTGACAATGGCTGTCGTTATAGAAGGGTGAATATACATCCACACCAATGACGTCAACTGAAGCGCTGTGATGCGAGTCAGAAATTAACAATAGAACACATACACAAGTAATCTGAAAAGATTGCAGTTGACGTGCCTCATACTCAATGTCAAGTGTTGATTCATATAAATCACATGTCATTTTAATGCATGTCATTTGAACAATCAAACAGTTTTAGTGCAAAGTCAAAGTAAGTTGTCAACTCTTAGTATTACAAGCTAATCTTGATTTTTTTTTTGGTGTTTACAGAAAACATTTTGCAAATCCCCCACCTAATAGACCAGTAAACGTCAAAATAAGTTTTTAATAATTTAACTGAAATGAATTAATCGAACGAATGTAGTCCCATAATAGGCCATTTTGTCATAGTCTGTAAAATACATTAATTGTATTATTGCTGTCACCATGAAAGATAAAATCAAAAGTTAAAGAGCTACACTTGTTGCACTGTGTAGTATTATATACAAGTCCAATATTACTTATACCTGTACAGTACATGAAGTTGAGCAGATTTTGATAGTTGATAACAGACAAACAGACAAACAAACAAACAAGCTGCTTGCTGATTATTCTGACTGTTGAGTGTTAAAATAGGGCCAGCCAATGAGGCACGATCTTGTAGGTAGTTTTGCATTGACTCGGAAACTATGCCACTTTAAACTCAAGTAAAGTGTAAGTGAAGTAATTTTTCACCAAAACACACACACACACAAACAAACAAACAAACAAACAAACAAAATCAAACAATGAAAATGTTTTTGGGTGATTTTATTGATAATCCGAATGAGCTGACAAATACCAATGTTGCTGCATTAGTAATACCATACATAAATCAAGCTTCTCTTACTTAAACTATTTTTGTTGTCCTCAAGTTGTGAGAAAACCTTCTTATATATACTTGCCATCTTTAACTAAATTGCTGTCTTACCCTGAAGGCTAATGAACAAATGCTAGGTACTCTGTCATGGGGGGAACTTAGTATCACAGATCATCAAGCTTGGCTGACAAAGTCATCAACCAAGACCTGATCCTATTGTTAAAGAGCTAACAAATTATTATACAGGCATGGGAGTTTCCTTTTTTTTTTCAACCCTAATGTTTTAATTTAATTTAATTTTTGAGCACATATAATTTAATTCAAGCAGATCAGAATGATTCTTAATCTCTAGAAAGTGACATAAAATTATGTGAACAATTAAACAGACCAAATCACAATTGTTAAAAAGAGATTACTAATTATTATTCATCATCACACCATGCTACTAGTCAATCATATTTATACCATTTCATTGATCATCATTTCAAATACCGAAAATGGTAAATATTCCTGGTATAGCTACAAATATGGAAAAATATTTCAGTTTGAAGAAAAAACAAGCTTGTATAAAAAACAACAAATAAATATCCAGTGCCAATCTTCACATGTATAACTTGTCAACACAATACTGCAAAGTATTCACAATCTCTAAGTAGAAGTAACAATTTTGCTACAGTTACTATGGAAACAAGTTACCTAACCATTGACACTACAGTCACATCACTGAATGTTACCATATCCATCCCTTTACATGTTGATGTGTTGTTATGACGCTAAGTTTACATGCACGTATTACCATAACAAATTTACATAGAGCATCAGCAAACTACATGTGTGTTGCTTGCACAAGGTGTTGACATAAACATCTTTGAAGTGTTACCACGGCAATTCTCACAATATACAAACTCAAATTATAAATTCACACATGCACAACAAATATTTTCATTCAATCAAAAAAAATGAGATTCCAAATATTGCTTTCATAATGTGAAGGTGAAATAAAAAAAAAAGCACATAATTTGATGTCAAGTAAACTTTACAAACAAACTTACAGTTGCAGCATTAAGATGAATGACATATTTAATTTCTTGCGTACAAAATTAGCTGTTCTAAACCAGTGCAAAGAAACTTTGTCCGAAACGAAGGTGGACACAGCTGGTTCTAATTCCTTACAAACTGTGAATTCTTAGTTTACAAAATAAACACGCAATCATTTACATAATTTTTACATAATTCTACAGTTGCCAACTCCAGAACGTGTAGTTTATTTCTTCTTCTCAACCTTTATACTGGGTATCTCATGTGGTGCTGGCAACTTATCACGTGTCGGTTCCACGTTCCATATTTCTTTGGCGTATTGCTCAATTGTGCGATCGCTCGAGAATTTACCAGATGCAGCAATATTCAGTAGGCATTTCTTTCCCCAAGCAATGGGATTCTGAAAATAAAAGAACGTCGAAATGATGAACCTGATGCTCATTATTGTACATTACACAAGAAAATGTTGTAAAAATAATCAGAAATAAGGCACTTCATTCTGACCAATATTTCATTTTACGTAAATTTAGTCATGTTAATTACGTTTCTGACAGCAACAATATCTTGTTTTCAGTATGTTACTTACCAGTATAAAGCAAAGACTATACATCTTACAATTTTAGTGAGAAACACAAGCATTTTGTACATACATTGCTACATCTAGTATTCTTGGCCAGACAAAAAAAATATTCACACTATTAGAAACCCATATAAACCAAACATTTTTTGTATAGTGATTTATTAATATTTTATTCATTTTGATCATAGAAGTAACATTTATGTAAGCACATGCATTACTAATAAAGCAAATAAAATATATAGCAAGCATTTACTGGTCTTGTTTCATGAATACATACCTTATAGAGATCGTTAACTTTTTCCTGAGCAGCGATGTAAGCTTCATAATCAGCAAGAAGACAGAATCTAGCAAAGTGAAAGTTGTAATCAGTAACTATAGAAGAACCGTGTACATTCCCGGTTATGAAATTCACTCCATGTAACTTTTAATCAATGATGGGGTCATGCATTAGTCTCCTTGTGAACTCAAGTAAGAGCATCTATTTTATCAATCTGACAACAGCAAGCATACAGTAAATAATGGTTGTCGGCAACAAAAAAGAATACATTCCTGAGTCACATTGTTTTACAACCAAATAAGGTTCAGGATACAGCAACTTTGTGTGTGTCGTATTTTTAGCATCAAATCAACTACTCAGGATCAGACAATTGGCACAGTGCATGAATATTTACAGTTAAACATTTGTTATTCAAATCAGCAGTCAGAATGTTGTGCCTTTAAACAAGACAGCCACACTCCCAAAATACATGCAAGCATATTTGAACAAGGTTTTTGTACTAATGGGATTTTTTTGAGAACTGTGAACGGTCAGCTGTCAATAATAGTTACGGATACATTTCATCCTACCTGTCATGGTACAGTAAAGTATCGGCAATGTCCTTGAAACAAAAGCGATCCCACGGTGAGAAGTAGCCATCATTGATCTGATCAATAGCTTGCTTAAGTTCAGCATTCTTTTCATAGTATTCCTTTGCGTTGTACCTGTCAGTGGAGACCAAGAAAATATTACCTGTCTACGTGATGACGATAGCTAAAAAATGGTTAAACCTGATTCCCATATTCAAATATGATATAGCAAAATATCTCCAATACAGTAATCACTAGTTTTTCAAACATTTGCTGCTCTGCAACACGTAAGGCACCATGTTTGCAAGGTGTGTGTTTACAGAGAAGGACTTGCAAAAATGCGAGAAAAAGGGATTATTTGTCATAAAACTTGTGGAGTTAGGTCTGACCATTCTTTATATTGTGTTCTACACAGCACAAATAATATTTGTTGCATGCCGTTTTTGTTTGATGCAAAATATTTTCTCTAGGTGACCTTTTTTTATGATGGAATACAGAAGACACATTTGTATATCGAGAATTAAGTACTATTATCGAAAACCGTAATGATGACTTTACAAACAAACAAATACTTATTCGTGTGCACTGTGACTATGCACACAAATTCCCAAGTAACAAACTTCTTCAAATCAATCCGGCACTAACAGACACTTTCTGATACTGATAATAAAAACATTCTGTTATAGCTGTCGGGCATCAATGTTGACCATGATTTTGGTTTATGCATTTGTTCATTTCATCATGTTTGTGATATATATATATATAGTAGCATGGTTAGATAGTTTTCACAACGTAGTTCTACATGCCATGTGTAGAATGAAATACAACACTCACCCTTTCTTGTGGAGCTCATTCACATCATCAACAGTCATTCCAAAAATAAAGATATTGTCTTTGCCAACTTCTTCCATCATTTCTACATTGGCACCATCCAGAGTACCAATAGTTAAAGCACCATTTAACATAAATTTCATATTACCGGTACCCGAGGCCTCAGTACCAGCCAACGAAATCTGCTCAGATAGATCAGTAGCAGGAACGACTTTCTCGGCTAGAGAGACGCGGTAGTTCTCCAAGAATACCACTTTTAGTCTCTTGCCAATGATGGGATCGTTGTTGACGACACGTCCAACAGAACTGAACAGATGAATGATCTTCTTAGCCATGTAGTATCCAGGCGCCGCTTTGCCACCGATCATTACAGTACGTGGTACGAATGACATATTGGGGTTCTTCTTTATTCCTGCAATGACAAACAAAAGCAATCATACAACATGAATATATATACTCCATGTACCTTACGTAACAGTACTGTGGAGTCAACTTTACTCATGTAGTCGTGTCTTAATTTCTCTGTCCACGTATGTATGTAAGCATTATTTATGCATTTTCTGATTGAGAGCAAGACAGGTGATAGAAGATGTTCTGCCTAAGACATTAACACAACATCAGTAAAATCCAGGCTAACATCCAGACATTATCAGCACTAAAATTCAAGTAGAAGAGTAAATCTGCACATACTGTTGTACATGGTGATGACGTGGAGACAGTTGAGCAGTTGTCGTTTGTATTCATGGATTCTCTTCACATGAACGTCAAACATCGATGCCGGATCCACAGTGATATTGTAATGTTTCTCAATGTAATTTGTCAACTTCATTTTGTTTTCCTAAAAAAAAAAAAAAAGATCCAAAGAATACATGATACTGGTCCGATGTCAAAGGTTCGATTGGAGTGGTCATCGGTGATCGTTCAAATTCACGTATACAAACACAAGTACAAAGTATCATTAAACGTAATCAAATTTATATAGCCGATAAGGCTTAGGTAGATTCTGTCAAATACACTCACGCTGTATTGCATTGTGGGATAGCTATATGTTAACACGCCACTGAGGGGGTAGTGTATGGAAAAAATGTACATACTTACAGCTTTCACAGTTAGTAGAGCTTTAATAAAGCCTGCATTGTCTATGAATGGTTCTAGCTCTCGTAGGAACTTCAAGTCATTCACAAACTTGTCACCAATTTTCTGTATGAGAAAACAAATTTAGAGTATGCTATTGTACCACACATATGAACAAGCAGCCTCTTGGCTGAGATAGCCCCGCTGTTAGGGAACTGATCATTACCACCCAGCCGGTTTCCTGTGAGTTTGACTCGGTTTACCGTACCGGTCGTTGCTTTACCGTACCGACCGTTGCGTTACCGTACCGACCGTTGCGTTACCGTACCGGCTGGTGCTTTACTGTACCGGCTGGACAATTACCGTACTGATAGGACCAATACCGACTATTTATCACCTTTGATAATGAATGCATGTAAACAA